AGGAAGTGGGAGACAAGCCGGCCGGGAACCCGACCAGACCATCCAGCACCAAGGCGACCATTCTTTAAAGCATTGAGAACCCCTAACAGTAAACTGTTTCGGGAAAAATGGTTGATTGCTTTCAAAAGTAATGATTTCGAGCAACACATGGGCAAATCTTTGCATGCTCAGAGTCTCACAGAGTCTCACCGAGTATTTGGGATAAGGCATCACTCCTCAAGGGGGCTCGTGTTTCTCTTTTTCTGCATCGTGGCCACACAAAGAGAACACGATATAATTTTCCCATATGTTCCCAATCACCTTTCTACGAGAAGAACTGTTCAAGAGCTCAATTTCAGATTCTCTATGATTCTAAATCCTGCGGCCACAAACCTGAGGTCGAATCTGGATCTGTGTACCATCTTGTACCTTTTATGTCCGCCGCTAGAATCTAGAAAAAGCGGGTTCAAGAGATGGAACATTATGGGACTGGTTTCTGAAATGCGATCGGATTTTCGTTCGGCCGCGGCCCATCACATCCAGATGTGGAGTGATGCAGGAGCCAGCGGAGCCAGCCGAGCCAGAGCCAGCGGACACGGAGACCGATGAAGGACGAGAATGGGACCCCAAAGGGAAGCTGGTTGAGGCTTTGTTTGGAAGTATGGTTCTGTGCAATGCTCAGCAAATTGACATTGATTGCGTGATTGATGGTGTTGGTGAAGCTTAATAATATTAAGTAGAAGCATTGCCGTCCTTTTGAACTTGAAGGAATAGCACAGGAGGCCATGAGTGCCTCCTGGATGAAGGAATTTGAGGCATCAACATCATTCAACAAGATATCAGAAACGATTCAAACAAAGTCTTGGACCAAATCGTGGTCCTTCTCCGGTTTTGCAGCCTCGCAAGGCTGCATCGGTTTGCCCTGCTCGAGGGAGAGCTACTGCAGAGGAGGGGTTCGGTCTGAGTTGATGAACCTTTCAGAGCGAAGCAGCCAGACCGCGGCCATCCGGCTGCCATTCAGATTTGAGGTGCTGATGGCCAATTTGACTGAGCTGGAGCATCGTCGCTCTGTTTCCCTGTCATCATCAGGCAAGCAGACAGGTCTAACAGCCTACGTTCTTCCTACTTTCTTGTGTGCTTGGTGCATGAGTAGCCACAGGTATGTGTATGGTCAGCCGGACTGGACAGGGTGATTTCTTGGGGCAGATTGGAGCCATGGAGGCAGAAGCGTTCGGACAGCGACGCATAACAGCAGACGGAAGAAAAGGTCTTGAAGTTTGATATGTTTGATGAAGTGTTTTGGTTTGGCAGGATGTGGAGGCAAGCGGCTGTGTGCAGGGGAGTGCGGTGAATGAGGCAGCTGAGATTAAATCAGACATTGAACTTCTGCTGATCTTCGGCACGAACAGAAGAGCTTGTCGAACCGGATCAGGCAGTACAGGTCAACAAGTTGCAGGCAGGGACTTCGCAATTGTGCTGAGCCCCTCACAGTGGAATGGTCCAAAAAACGAGACACACGCACACACAGAGCCCTTGAATCAGCTCGAATATATAGTTGTTGTTGTTCATGCTCAATAGTCCATGTTTCACTTTCCTTCCCATGTGGTGGAAGGCATTGTTCCAGCTTTTGTGGAGGCAGAAGCGATCGAAAGTCTTACCAAGGCAGATCAGCAGGCAAGGGCTGTGATATCTTTACTTTTAATTGGTGACAAGTTCAACATGTTTGCAGCATGTTGGAATGCATACTGTAATATGACCGATTGAGTGAGCCAATCAAACATTCTGTCAAATCGGACGATGGTGAAGTGGCAGCGTTGAGGACTTCATTATCCGCGGTAAAGACTGGTCAGCTCTCGCTGCTGAATGTGATGCGTTGCTGGAATCCTGCAAGAGGCCCCGCCAAACAAAACATCAATTCGTATGAATTCCTGAAGTGTCAGAAAATGTCAGAAGTCTTTGACGTGTCTTAATATCAAGGCACCAACTGTGCAAAAAACTGGACCTGTACTATTTGTCCATTGATGGTTTGGTCTATTGTTTTGTTTGGTGTCGAATACCAATATCTTGATGGATTGATGGATGGATGGGTGCTGTATTTTTGCATCTGCATTTATGCATGTTCTTTGCATTACTGTACCAAATTTGTCCCTCCAAAAGGGCTTTCTGAACTACAAGATATATTCGATGGCTTGTTTCGTCTTCAAGCCCTGAGGCCTGCATTGGAGACAGGAGGGGAGGGGGTTCCTGTTCTTTCGTGCCCAACGACTCCGTCGGACGCCCAAACGACTTGCCAGGAGCTCTCCACGCGGAGGCCACAGGGCATGCGGACACGATCAGTTGTGCGGCGACGACGGGTGACCAGTGGGGAATACCCGAGTACCATGACATTACCATCCCGACCATCCATATCCGAAACTCGGGATGGTCCAGTTAGCCAGGTAACAGATGTCGGAGCTTTGCATCATCCGGAGACTGGAGTGTGTTTCGTCTTCCACATATGGACATGCAATGGGGAACGACTGAATCAAAGACAAGCTCTTTGCTTGCGACAGGCGGATTCGATGCCATCCCCCCAGGCGGATTCACTGCATTCTATGAACATTTGCTCCACTAATGCTGATAATGTTGACAAAGACACATGCAGGAAATCGACCTTGACCTCTGAGATCAAGATTGGAGATCGATTTCACGAGAGAAGTTCCTGCGTCACTCGAGCTGGGCATGTACATAGGCAACAAAAGTTTAAAGCAGCACCCCTCAGTGCTGAACATGTAGCGGATTTACTTCAGCCTTAGGCGCCTTTGGCTGCAAAGCTACGCCTTCGGGCCACTGTTTCACCTGTTTCACCTGTTTCGAATCCGCGACATCGCATGTTTACACGTCTCAAAAGTGTTGCTGATGTCGCTTGTTTGTGTGGCTTTCCACAAATCGCTAGACAAGGAAGGGTGAGTAGCTTCGACCCCTACTGATCCTTACTGAGAAATTGACCCAGACATTGACATAGGTTGAGACAGGAGCGTTGTTCTTTTCAGACTCCACCGCTCGTGAGGCTGATACTGGGACAAAGATGGTACACCTCGGAAAGAACACCAGGCCTGCTGTTGCATAGCCGCTACTTGCATAGCTGTTGATCCTGAAATACATTCTCAGGTCCAAAATCATCTCCAAAGGCATTTCCGCTGGGCATTCCAAGAATGCGTGCCCCACGCAAACACGGTGGTGCTGAGACAGCAATGACATGACAAGCACCCCAAGCATGGGACATCTACTCCGCAGTTTTGAAGGTACAGAGGTCTGGTGGCATTTCGAGGAAATGCCACTCAGGGCAGGCACGGGACTGTCATGGGACTGTAAGTGTACAACTTGTCAAGGCCACTTCCACTGTTCAGACCAGGAGTTTCCTGTCCTTTAGTGGTGAATTATAAAATATGATATAGGTGGACTCAGGCAATGCACGCCGACACATGCGTGTGCAGAACAACCAAACCTTTGTTTGAACAGATGACATATGGCTGTGGGTCCCAAACCTCCGGGTGCCATCGGCTTGCCAGACAGGAACTTTTCACAGTGTGACTCGCTGCTGATCGGGAACAAGGGCGAGGCACACGGGGGTCGAAGAGCACGAGTCTTCCGATGCCGGCATGGCGGCCAACCACGGAAGGCCTCCACCTTTCCTTACATAGAGGCTGCTGATGGGAACAATCAGGTGGAGCATGAGGCCAGGAATTCATGAGCCAAAGCTGTGGGTGCTTTGCTTGTTCAAATCATCCAACCTTGAATGCATTCGGTTTACTTTGGCTTGTTCTCCATCGGAGCGTTTTCAGGCCACAACCTCAAGAGTCTCTGAAGAGCAGTGACTTGGCTGAGCAGATACTGAGCATGACAAGATGCTGGGCATGCGCAAAAATGTGTAGATCGCCTTCAGCCCTGCTTCGGTGATTCTTAACACCTCAGGCTCTTGTACCTCACAAGCCGGGGTCTTGCACCTGAAGAAGCTGTATCCCTCGTCATTAATGGCTTTTGTCAGGACTTTTGGAATGAGCTTTGAACATTTTGGGCGTTGGTCAACCACTTTGGATGAGCAATGATTTCGCATGGTCAACCACCGGTTTGTCTGTCTGTAAATTCGTCCTCCTCGCTGCGTCGACCAGGATGTCTTCGACCAGCTGCCCATGGAATTTGCCTCGGAGGCGAGTCGATGACTCGAAGCTCCCGACGCTCTGAACGGTCGGCTCCGACGGTCGGGGCCGCTACGGGCAGGCTCAGAAGCTCCTGTCACTCAAGCTTGAAGGTACAGTTGGATAGTCCATGGCCTGAGCTGTTTTGAGCTGGTGTGTGATGTCAATCGAGTCTTGATCAATTATGATCCATTGAGTATTGGATATCCTACTGTATTGGTTTGCTTTGCCTTGGTAGGTAGGGGCAGCATGTTGTTTGAGAATGTCCTAATATGTCCTAATCAATTATATAAACTTGATTGAATTCTGCGCATGTGGAAATCTCATGCACTCGGAGTCTGAGTTTCTTCTGTGACAGTAACAGTAACAGGCAAGAGTTTATCTCAAAGCATGTGGTTGAATCAATGTCGGCACGTTTAAATGTGAAGATGGCCAACGCTAGGCCTAGGCCGACAGCACACAAGATTTCACAAATTGTTTGCCGTTTTGTGATTGAAAAGAGTGTTTCGTTTGAAAGGGAGACACTTGCATACACATGTTCGGCGATTTGGTCTTAAGGTTTGGTAAGGTAAACTTGGAAGACCTTGGCAAGAAGTTAGAGCTACTCGACAAAAGTCTCTCCCCGTTTCCCCGTTTCGCTGTGATCACCCCCAAAATATGATAACCATTCATAATCATTTGGCTGATCTGATGGGGAAAACACTTGGAACCTGAACCAAAGGTATCCAAAGGTCAATGTCCGCAGCTCAAAGGTCAAGCAATCGCCATCAATCCAAAGCCTCCCGTCGAGTGCAGTGCGCACCACTGACAGACCCGACGGTTCAATCAACCAACTATGAACATGTTGTGTGGATAAAAACTAGTACCACTAGAAACACCAGAAGAACTCGATGCAGTTGAAGGATTGAAACATTGTGGTCAAAGGCCGTCTCACAGGTGCCGCAGCAAGCCATTGAATTTGGTGTGCTGAGCGCATGAGTCTTTTCCAGATCCAGTCCGGTGTGGAATCAATGTCCAGCCGATTTGAATGGGTCTTTATGCTCTCACGCAGACATTCTGGGCTGAAGACATGTGTTTCAAATACCCGTGTTCTACGAGCGAAACTCTCGTACCTCATTGACAGCCGCACACAAGATGTTTGCTCGCAACAGAGTCTTCAGTCAGACCCGGCGATCCGTGCCAAAAAGAATGAAACATGTGATCCATGCAGGCATTGCAGTGTTCCATAGTTTTGCTGTGTTTCGCTGTTTGAGAGATGACATGAGATGGCTGGTTGACTGAAGAAAAGAAAGAAAGGGATCCCAAGTGGCTATTTTGTTGGGATGTTGACCCACGATTGAGCCAAAGATGTCAACAGAGCAGCTCATATTCTCAAGGTCTTGACATCCGGACCACTCGTTTTTTCCAAGGGCTTTGGTGGAATCAATGGAAAAATCTTAAATTCCAAACGTTTCATTGGCTGGAACAGGTGCTTCAGACATGGGCTTATGGGCTTGTTTAGTTCAAAGGACCCATATCTTTTTCCAATGGTGTGGCGCTTGCATGCTCTTGCTTTGGCACTTTGCCAAGTCCAGAGCCAAGCCCGGAGCCCAAATCAGTGTGGAGACTCATAATTAAAGACTTGAAGAATTGCGTTTATATAGTTGTGACAAGGACCAATCATTGCATTAGCGGCCAAAACCCAGTGCACCATCACAGCTCACGTACTCCCTTGTTCTATCCAAGTTGGAGAAGACTGATGGTCTGTATGGTTAGCAATTGCTTTGAAGGCTGAGACGGGCACTCTGGCGCTTCAGAGAGAAATCGAGGAGGAGGGTGTTCATTTCAAGTTCACCTGTCAGAGTTGATACATTTTAGCAATTGCAGGAGCTGCAGCGGATCCAAATAGCCACATTTGCCGGATGCTCCGCAATGCTTCGCATGAAAGCCCTTTCCATTGTTGTACACGAGCACCGTGCACAGCTGCGGTCGACCACCCACAGCCAAGGTGGCGGAAAATGCTGCAGCAAACCAAAGTGAACAGGCGCTGGGGTCTCACGATGTGGATGTGCCGAGTGTGTGGCCGAGCTGCGTGTGCTTTTTTTTGAACGGCGCCGTGGGGTAGACCCACGTTTGTGCAACTCTGACACATGGAGCAAGTTTCTGAAACTTGAGCTTAGAAGCTACTAACTAGGTTGGAGGCCATGGCTAGTAGGTTGGAGGCCATTACTACTAGTAGCTTCTGAAGCTACGAACGTAACATGTTTGCACAAATCTGACGCCTTGAATCCACCAGTCCTATGCGACAGTGTTCGGGTTCGGTGCGCCGGTACTGTATATGTTTGTCACCGAACTGCATGTGTTTTGTGAGTTTCTGCGCTGAAACCATGGTTCACCGCACAGTTCCAATTCATCCACTCTAAGTCTCATCCTGTGTCGGAGCTATGGTCTCATCCTGCATTGGCGCACAGAATGCAAAACATGTTGAACAATTGTTGGATAGAGGTATTTTGACGCTACTAGGAGCAAAGGGCATCGCTACAGTACTAGGAGCATGGACGCTACTAGGGGCTATTACTAGGAGCAAGAACCCTACTAGGAGCAAAGGGCATCGATGAAGTTTCCCAATTTCAGTTGCTAGGTGCGCTTGCTGAACAAGAGCCAGCACCTCTTTGCCGAGCTACATCCTCAGACGCAGGTTTTTCTTTGCACAAAGGCCCGTTGATTGGAAAATAAGTAATTAGCAAGGAAATATATATAACAAAATCCAATGAGAACGCACCCTGAGGTAGAAACTGCCGTTGGAAGCTATTAACCCAGCTCACGGATCACGTGATTCTTATTTCATTGTTCCGATTGCGATGAAACCACCGCTTTCAACAGGCCTTTTCAACCCCTGGACCACCAAAGAAGCAAAAACCAAAGCAAAAAAAGAATATGATTTGGGGACTACTTAGACAATGAGACTAGTCTGGAAAAAATAAAGCAGTTTTTGCTGGTTTGTGTGGATTCTTCCAGATAAATCAAGACTAACCCACAAAACCTATCCTGGCTAGTCTGAGTGATACCAGGCCACATTCATTTGTACATGTGCTGAGCCACACCATCCTCCCTCGCATTCTGGAGTGTGAGGCACAGTTCAACCGAATGCAAAGACTTGTGCATATTGTTTACCTCAGATCATGAGTTGTGCACGTTGTACATACCACGTGACAACGATGTTAGTTACAGTATCTCATAGTGTGAGATATATTGTTTGATTTGCAATCAATCAATGAAATGCCAAGATTCACATGTCAAACTAGATTATGCATATCATGTTAATATGAGAAATGCAGTGCTGTCTCAAAATGTGAACTTTTATGTAACCCACAGTCAAATTTCAGGGATGCACTGCTCACATCAAAAGACCTGATCTGTGCATAATGATGCCATGATACCGTAACGCACGAGATACTATGAGATACACGCTGCTAATCTCATGACATGAGAACTGATTTATGCACCTCATACTTTGACATACACCTGAGCTGTCTTTCTCATAGAGAGAGAGAGAGAGATCAATTATTGATATGTCAATCCATGAAGTGCAAAGGTGCACCTCTTAGATCATGAGAATTGACTTGTGCATATGTGTGCCATATTATGGCAAACATATGAAACATCTCATAAAGTGAGCTATATTATTCATATGTCAAAGCATGAAGTGCCAATCTCAGGGCTTGATAAACTATCTATGCACCTCATAACATGAAATTACCTCAAGATGAAATCATCTCAAGATGTCATTAAATTTGGAAAAATATCATCACTTGTCTAAAGCCGGCTTTGTGTAAGCCACAGCCCAGAAGCTCGAAATCGTGTGGGTTTTGTGTGGCATTCAGTGACACACGACTTCAGAACCACAGTACTTGTAGTTTGTAGTACGTTGACTTCTGACCGCCCTTTTACACCACAAAAGAAACCCATAAACGGAAATAGAATTAGCACCCTCAATGGTGAAAACGGTCAGCCTCGCTTGCCTCACGTTTCCCAGTCCTTTTGATCTTGCACGTGTCGCCCTGTCCTGTCGTGCGGTCCTAAGGTGTGGACCAAGATACACCTCGGCCAAAGCTGCCACGGCGAAGGCGCCACCGGTCAAGCCGCTTTTCCCATTGGGATCGAGAGACCGTGTGGTCACCGTGTTCGGTGAAACGAACTGACCTGAGAGGCGAAAGAAGAGATCTCCATGCTTGAGGCAGGCCTGAAGAATTGTATTTACTGTATCACCTTTTTTTGGATGTGGACACTGTGTTCTACATACACACTCCAAAGAGGGATCAGCAACAGTGCGAGAGACCAATCAGTCGGAATGTACCAAGCTCTTACAGAACTACAAGAGTAATCAGTCGATGTTTCGGTCATCAAGTGTCCGAGTTCAAGTTGCATCCGATGTGATGCGCCGGAAACGGGCGCCGGAAACGGGTTCTCATGTCGCCATTTCGTTTTGGGTCAGCGTGGTGCAAGATCAGGGTGCAAGTCATAAGCGTGTGATGTAGCAGTTGTTTCATGTTATTTCAGTAGCACTGTTTCGTTGGGCGGTGGAAGGAAAAGTAGCTACAGGTACTGGTTTAAGAAGGTAGATAGCATTCGCACAGCTGCATGAGGGCAGATGCAGTGAGAATCGGGAATGCAAAAGATGGTTGCAGAACAAATTCCAATGACTACGTCGAGTTGCAGGTGGCAGTGATGTAGCTGCGATATTGTGGCTGGCTATGTTACAATGTTGTAGGTTTCTGTCTAATACACATTACTGTAAGAGGAGTCAGAAAGCCTGCGTGAGTTGGCACTGGTTGTTGGCGGTCGCAGCTGGGGGCTCCAAAATGGCTGTGTGAACTGTAGTGTAATAACTACAAGTGAGGCAAAAGAATAGAGTAAAGAGTCCACAGAGAAAGATGTGTACAAAAGCTTAAAGAAAATGCCTTAAATAAAGGGCTTTCCAGGCATGGAGCAGCAAAGATCAGCAAAGTAATTATATGTTCACCAAAGTTTTGTACAGAAGAATAGAGCTGTACTGAAAAAAGGTGTTGATTTTTAGGAAAAGCAAAGACAAGGTGATCTTCCTGGAAGATCTCAGAAAGTAGATGTTGCACAGAGAAGCATAGAAAG